ATGAAGATGATGATGATGATGATGATGATTTTATATGGTTTATTATTGAGTGAGAGTATTTAGTTTGACAAAAAACAAAGTCAACAACGATAATACAACTTAACAAGACCTACAATAACAAGAAAAAATAGAAAAGGCGGTGACAACAACGACGACGACGACAACAACATCAACAACAACAACAACAACAGCAACAGCAACAACAACAGCAATAACAACAAACAACAGTAAAAACAACAACAAAACTCTTTTTAAAAAACGTAAATGGGCTTACCTTGCTTGCGGAGTCTGTGTCACTGCAGAGAAAAGGAAGAAATACAGAAAAGCCATCGTTAGCCGCAGCATGATTGATACATCCATCCAAGGCAATACACAGAGCTTGAACAGTTAATACAATCCCAGGAAAAAGAAAAACACCATGGCGATGAGGATGATGACGACGATTATGATCCAAACTTCAATGAATCAACATCAAATACATTATTGTCCAGGAATGTCAAGGGGTAGAGAGCCACACATCCTCTAAACAATATCGTGGTAGTTTTTACCACCACCAAACCAACACGTTACTAATGTACAAATATCCATCTCGCGTGAACAACACACGAAATTCAGATCGTCGAGAGAAATCAGTCGCTAAAATATGGTACTTGCTGATTGCCCACACTCACAGTTCACCACGACATACAACTGACTATCCTGATACTAAAAAGGTTCTCAGTTCATGTGGTGGAAGTCACAATGACACACTACTGTCCTGGTACTAAACAGGTTCTCAGTTCGTTTGGTGGAATGGTGGAATTCACCGTTTGAGCGTTCGGCACATCTGTCATTTAGGAGCAAAATGTCAATCTCAAACACTCTCCCAGTTTTTCCACCACCAGCTACGTGTAATTACGTACCCGAATAAAGATAAGGGGGCAGAACAATAGGTCGTAGCCAAGTGGTTTACAGAGTTATCATAAATCCTTAGCGGAAATTGGAGGTCCCGGCAGGTTTATTATCGCTGAATAATTTCTGGGTCCCTGTTGACAGTTATAATTTTAAAGTTGTTTGATTAAGGGAATAATAAGCAATATATATACAACGGGAAAAGCTATAAAAAGAAAATGATGTGGCTAAAAAGCGTAAATTACACGATTTTCGCTGACCTAATAACACACTCGTATTCTGAAATCTATTATTATGCCTATCTAGACCGTTCCCCCTTCGAACACACTACCACTACAGTTATAGAGGGTCAGAGTTAGCTAGGCATCTGATATCACGCAGGCCTGCATTAAGTGAACAGCCCTATTATGTCCCCAAAGGATTATTTTACGTGAATTTTGAGGCCCATTCGCAGGCCCATTCGCCACGGGAATCGGTCCTACCAGGTACGGACGTCAGATCAAAAATCCTACCTAGAAAACCATACAAGTGTCCTCACCCC